TCCTGCAGGTAGCGCGCATCGTCGGGGTGACTGATGAGCAGAAGAGGCTCATGGGAGTTGGCTCAGGGCTGGAGCTTGTCACTCTGCCACATGGACACCAATTACGAGAGGATTTGTTAGAGAGGTGCATACAGCGGACACTCTTTGTACTTAAAAACAGATCTATGAATACATAGATGGTTTCACTCATATTACAAAAAAACTACTAACAAAGAAACCTACTTTTTCAATTATCCCTTGTGATATCTAGCGATGCAGACACAGTGTCCTCGGTTTAACTCGCGGATAAAAGACAGAAAGTGCTGGACTATTTCTCTGGCACACAGTATTCCTGTGGATTACCCAGTGGGATACTGTAGATAGAAATGCTCACCTTTATTTATTGGGGTGGACACTTTCTGGGTGGCTAGATACCACTAGAAGGAAGTAATAAAATGTCCCTCAGTAATGACCTTATTTAATCTTCTGTCCACTCACACATCCTCTAATCCATTAATCTTTAATCATTTTTTTTAGGCATCATCTAATAGCACTGGGAGTCGCAGTAGACATTCTGGGCTGCACAGGGACTGTGAGCCAGAGAGCAACAGTTTTACACAAAATAATCTTATTGGCTCAGGCCCTGAAAGAACACGCCCACAACCTCTACTCCTTCTCAGCCGTGATGAAGGCTCTGGAGATGCCTCAGGTGGTGCACTTATGATAAAGATACACTTGCCCAAATTATGCAAAGTGAAGACCGGTTTCCGTTTATTCACATATGCTGAATACTTGTGCGTGCACTTGCAGATTGTGCGACTGGAGATGACGTGGCGAGCGCTGAGGAGGAACCACACAGAAAGTGCGGTGTTGTTTGAGAAGAAACTCAAACCCTTCATGAACTCGCTGAACGAAGGAGATGGTAAGTGGTGGTGTTAAAGAGAGACACGCATCACATTCATCTGGCAGCTGCTTTTGTCCTCAGAGATTGGAGACATGTCGACATAAAATGTCAGGGCCAAGAAGGATACAAATTACAGCAGAAGTGCATAGATCCCTGAACAATCCCACGTAAATGTCAAATGATACAAAATAGTGTAACCTCACAGTAATTGTGTTACTTCTGAATTGGACAGTAGAGTATTTGCTTTTGTATGAAATTAAAAACTAACACCACAGATGATATATATTCATAATACAGGCCCAAGCTCAGTGCCACAAGAGTCAGAACATCTTTAATTACCAAGATTCAAATCTTTCTTATTTTTTATTACTTCATACATTTACCTTTTATTTTGGATGCCTGACTCAGTCCTCTTCAGCAAGGACGACACCAAACTGCGGTGGAGATGTGATTCTTCAAATTTTTTCATTTGCTCTTTGCCAGAGGATTTGTGTTGCTCTGCTTAAAAAAATAAATCAAATTAAATACCACAAAAATGTTTGATTGGATTTAGGCAACATGCCTGGTCACATCGTACTTTCCACTCTTCCTTCTTTAGAAACTCTTGTGTGACTTTGGCAGAGTGTTTTGGATCATTATCCTGCTGGAATATTCCTCTTCTTCTTCACCAAGACTCCCCAGACTTATAGACTGTTCAGCTTAGAAATAATGCATCATTGAGAGGTGATGCAGTTGTTAATCATTTGACATACAAATGATATCGTACAGGGGATTACTGTCTTCTCTTGTATAATGTAATTGATAAATATCTGTTTGTTGTGGCTGATACAAATATAATAACACCGATATTCATCTTACAAATGAAAAAACTGGGAAGATAAAAATCCGTATATAATTTTCAATCGACATGGATGAATTAAAGTATATTTTTCTAAAACTACACCGTTATCACCAGTGGAATTAATAATACATCCATTTAGCGTAAACGTGCCTGTAATATCATTATCATTTAGTACAGGCTGCAAAACCCAGTAGAATAACTTACACAGTGTTGAACTAATTAATTGCTACCTAAACGTCTTGACTTGATGAACTGGCTAACAGTCTCAGTCTCTGTGCCTACCAGGACACTTCAAGATCATTTAAGTTTAAGAGCTCATTAGGCTCCGCCGTTTCGTATAATTAGTGATGTACTTGAGGCAATTTATCAAACTTTGCGCTGCTCCCTGTGGAGCTTCACACACCTTTTTTATATGTGCAGTCATACTCCACATCATCCATAAACACGCAGTGATGCATAAAAACACCTGTTACTGCAAACTGGCTACAACAAGAGCTTTATAAATAGCACTGTGACCCATTTCTTAAGGAGTGAATGTATTGCCGTCTGATGGGTGCCGTGTGTTCATGTTTGTAGATTCTGTAGTCCAGGGTCCCATAGCCATGCCGCACCTGGTTCCTCTGCTGATGCTGATGGAGGGTGAAGACCCAGTGGAGAACAGCGAGCGAGGCTGTCAGCTCCTCTATGACGTCCTCCAATCAGCTCGCAGCACTGCGTTGCACGCCAAAGATTACCAGCAGCACGCACGCTCGCTACTTACAGGTACACACATTTTCAAAACGTCAGTAATCGTGTTAAAAGAACTGCAACGAATAGTTCCTGCTGGCAGTGCCATCAGAGCAGTGCTGCACCGAGATGGAAACAAAGACGGAGTGCTTGACATGAAGCGTTATTTGTGCCATAAAATGTTTTTCTAAGCAAAGCGGGCCATGACCTCCTGTAGATACATGGAGGGAGTTAAGATGGGATAGTCAGGGAGGAGTACGAGAAAATACACATCGATCAGCAGGTGAAGCGAAAAACACTGATCATCTTTTAATAATGCAATTTTCTGGGATGTTGTTTTGTGTGACTTTGACACGTACCTCAAACCATGTTATTGTGGCTAAAGTAGGTGATCCAAAGTCAATTCCACAGTGAATATTTTTCCTGGACAGACACTTACACAAAGACCTTCAAGTTTGTGTCATAATAAATGAACTTAAATTGGCCAGCTGTTGACACTGACGCGGTATCATAACAAAATACTGACTCCACATAAGTTTGTTAAAGTTCTTACAGCGGAAGTCGAAGGTATTGTGTTTTTAAATTGTCTGTTCATTCATCCCATCCTCATAAACACAGTATCTGTTAAACATCCATTATCTATACAACTGCTTAATCCTCACTAGGGCTGGAGTCTATCCCAGCTGACTCAGGGTGAAGGCAGGGGACACCCTGGACAGGTCACCAGTCTGTCACAGGGCTACACTTAGAGACAGACAACCAAGCACACTCACATTCACACCTACGGACAATTTAGAATCACCAATTAACCTCAACATGTTTTTGGACTGTGGGAGGAAGCCGGAGAACCCGGAGAGAACCCACGCTGCACGGGGGGGAACATGCAAACTCCACGCAGAAAGATCCCGGGTGTCCTTAGCAACGGTGCTAACCACCGCTCCATCTTGCAGCCCTCTGTTAAACACGTTGAGGGAATTTCTTCAACTCTGGTACCACAAATGTTCATACAGTGGATTTAAAGATTAACTGATTAGACTTTGGTGGTCAAAAGTTGCTGTGACTTTGCAAAAGACTTTTTGGTCATAACCCAGGAATTCACACAGTAATTATGACTGCATCTTACACAAATATGTACGAGGATAAAACGACAAAGTGATGGCATTTTTACATCCAAATGGTCAAAGGTCACTGTGGCATCATGATGTTCAGCCACAACACCTTCCTGGCCATTATTTAATGTCCTAAGATTGTGTCCATAGTTCAGTGAAATCTGGATGAATACTGAGTTGGCTCTATAACCTTGGGTGAACCATCTACGAAACTCCTTCCAAGTCTTTACTACGTATAATATACAAGTCTGGACAGACACGGATGGTAACTGCAGCTTGAGTGGTTTGCAGAGGCGTGCAACCACAAAGCATTTAAGAATTCTACTTTATGAATCATTCAGATTAAGACATCAAACAGTAATTTCTAAGTAAGCAAAACAAGTGTTTTCTGAAGTACGAGAAAACCGATAAATACAGCAGCTTGCTCCCAAAAGCTCTGAATGAATGTGCTCATGTGAGTAGTTTTTGCCCGGGGCCCATTGTGAGGCAGAGCAAACACAGGCTGCTGCAGGAAGTACAGAAGTATAAAGTATTATACTGAAAACAGTGCACATTGTGAAAGTGATGTGAAGTGACATCATGTGTAGTATCTGATGAAACGTCCGACACACTGTTTTTTTCGTGCAGGAGGCTGGGAGCCCGTCCCCGAGCTGCTGGAGGCCTTCCGGACAGAGTTTGCCCTGCGGCTGTTCTGGGGTCAGCTGGGGGCAGCGGCGGAGAAACAGGAGCGATATGAGAAGTTTGACAAGATTCTTTGCGTCCTCTCAGATAAACTGGAACCAGTGGAGCTCACCCCACAGCAGCCCGACGCTCTGAGCTGAGCCTCGGGGCCTGTTTCACTAAGTGGAAGGTGAAGTCAGCACTTTCTTCATGAGAGGAGAATATAGAGCAAAGATGACAGGATGATGTTTTTGTACAAGCTTCGGTGTGTTGTGGTAAAGGAGGAGATCTCAGCCGTGAGATCACACACACACACAGTGACTGTATGTCGAGCTTGACAAGCGACAACTTGACGTAACTTGTAAAGAAATGAATTCTAAATGGAATGTGTGGGCAGACCTTCACTGTGAAAAGGGCTGCTTCGGATTCACTTTCCTTTTTTAGGAAGATTGAAATTGTTTACCAAAAAAAACAAAAACTAGCATCCGTTTGCTTCACAACATGTACATTTCTGATTCTCATGCAGCGTTTTATCAATCCAAACCACTTGTCTGATACTTGAGACTCCAGCATTATTAAACATTAGTCAAACTGCACTCTTAGCCCAAGGCTCTTCATCCTTGAACTGCTGTTGTAGTGAACCACACTGGAAACTGTGTTCTGGAAACCGTTTCATTGGAGTGTTTCTGATGCAATAAATCATGTTCAGTTTTTTGTTGTTAGTTTTTGCATGTATTGTTTCTCATAAACGACACCGTAAAGAAACAAGAAGACAAATGGGTTTTTTGTTTTCACTTTATGATACATGTAAATACAGACATTCTCGTTCAAAAATGGATCATACAATAATACCCCTTAAATGTTGAGAAAACATTGTGCAGGACAGAGTGGCAGAGACAGAGATGAATAAACCTCATGTGGCTCAGTGAGAGAGAAAGAGAGCTTTAAGCATTTCAGATTCAGATTTTAAAAGTGCTTGTTCACTCTTGGCAGTGATCCAGTGAGGAGATGAATCTCAAAACTCTCATTTCCTCCCTTTGAAATATAGCCTAGTGCCATATTGATTTTTTGGAAATTTGGTTGAACAGGCCATCTGGATTTCAAGTAAGAATAATGACAAAGTTTTGTCTTTTTCTTTTCTTTTTTTTTTTTTTTTTTTGAAATGGCCGTTGTTTCAGAGGATTTCGGCGAGACAATAAGAGTGAGATTCAGATGTCCAGAGGCTCAAAAAGTGAAAACAGGCAGTTAAACCATGTGAAACCAGACTATGACAAACATAAAGAGGAACCAGCTGACCGTCAGACCTGAAACCGCTCCAACACCGAGTCCAGCCACTTCTGTGCAAAGTTCGAAATTAAACATGAAGAAGAGACCTGCACAAAGGCTGCTCCCTCTGACACAGGCCATTCACAGGAGTTCTAAAATAATAAACTCTATATTTTTACTTTGCATTGAACTTTGGTCATCACTGCTATTGTGCTTTTCCTTTGGATTTTTTTTTTTACACATCATGCCTAAAATTCACAAAAAACGTTGCAAAGCAAGCTTCCATTAAAACCCTTTCTGTGGTAGAGAACTGAAAATACATCACATGGAGTTAAGAGACAGGTTCACGTTTCCCCCTCTTTCTGTCCTAACAGTGCTCACGTGACCATGTGAACATTGAAACAGGTTTTGCACACAGTTTTCTTTTTTTGTTTGTCTTTACAGCCAGGATTTCCCTTTTCAGATCACTTCCAATGTAAATGATGATCAGTGTCACACACCAGACCATTTTCTAGCACTAATGTGGCGCTGTATAGGATGGTCTACTGGCCTTCATTATCATTCTGTTACAGGGGAAAAAAAACACTTTGGGATGTTTGTATTTCTTTAACACAATCACAGTAATCTGAGGCAGGGCTAAAAACAGGATACAGTGATGGTGTTCACTGAAAACAGAGACTTGTTTTGGTGGAACATTTACACACAGAGAGGTGAGCGCCGTCATTTAAATGTCTAATTTACAGAAAAATAAACGAGCAGGGCTGCTTTTGTTGCACAATCCAAACCTTCAGCTAAATATAAAGTTTTCATGTAGGCTGCTACCTAAAAGTTTGGCAGGGTTATACCTCCAGTCTACATCCGGGGAGCCAGACTAGAGATGACAAGCAAAACACAGCCCACAACCTCTTTAAAAAGGTTTAGCAGTTCGACTGATCAAATCAAGTGGATGCCTTCCAAATTTACAGCATTTTCAAAATGAAATTCCTCTTTGTGATTTCTGCTACAGCGATGGTAACACAAAGAATGATTTTTATTTAATAAAACACTGAAAGATGCCCACTTGATCAGTTCAACTCCAGACCTGTGGATTTCTTCCCCTTCACCAGTGAAAGTGCATTAGGAAGAGATCCTTTAATGGTTAATATAAACAGGAAAATAGCAAGAAAACCTGTTTCACTTTTCATATGGACACCTGACAACTGTTTCAGGACAAATATAAAAAGAAAACGAGAGCCTGTCCTTTAACGTCTTGGTCCATTGAAAGATATATTTTGTACTCTCCCTGTAGTGGTTTTCATCCAGTTAAAAGCTATAAAACATCACATCACCATGGTAAAAAAAAACAAAAAAACTCACATTATCCTGTCAGACAAGGGGTTTTGTAGAGAGTTGGTGTTACAAAAAGAAAAAAGATCAGCAGGTTACTAAAACTGGCAGTGGGAAAGTCAAGTGGGCGGATATAAGTATTGCCATAAACAAGTGTAGCGTGAGGCTACTACGATGCTGAATAGGAGTCGTCACTTAACACGGTGACAAAAAGTTCGGGTATACATTCAAAAGTAGTTTGTTTTTTTTTCCTTCTTTTTTTTTTTTAGTTCGAAAAAAGCTGTAATCTAAAAAGATCAGACAGGACTGACAGTCTGCATTTAGAGGCTGCGTCTCCTGCCACAGCGAGCAGAGACAGGGAGTGTATGATACTGCAATCAGCCTCGATAACAAGCTTTATAATCACTCACTTTCATCTCACTGCACACACACGTCACCGGCTGAGATAAAAACATGTAGAAAACAGCTCCAATTATCTTGGATGACTTTGCATTCACCTTTGGCTCTTAACTTCCATCAGGAGCCCTTTGATGGGAGTTAAGGTGTGAGTTTGACATAGGATGAAGGTATATAGCCCTCCTCTCCATTGCCTCTAAGGACTCTCATCCATCCATCGCCTTTATCCTCCTCCATTACACTCAACAGCTCTCCCTCTGTAATGGAAATGGTGCCCTCGCTGTTGCCTGCACACAAACACACCCAAGAACGAGATGTGAAAAAAAAAGAAGCTAAAATGAGATCTATTTACGAACAAATGGCGCGTGAATCATAAAATGTACCTTCGAAGGTGTACAGAGCCGTGCACTGGCCAATGGGACTTTCTACGTCGTCAAATTCATAATCAAACTCTGTGTAGATGTTCTGAGACGGGTCAGCTGTTACAGCGCTGGAGACACTGGACACATGCAAAAAGAATAAATACACGTTATGTCCTCAGTTTATTCACCTTCACATTTATAGAAACTGATTGAAATTTTGGATAAGAGATGTAGTCATTCATTTATTTATTTATTCATTTTCCTGCTGAAATGAGATAATTGGGATTTAGATCACACACCACAGCTTACAGTGTAATTAATCCACATTTAAACACTGGGTAACAGTTAATACTTGTAGGTATAAGAGAGGGAGATGTGAAGTTTAGAGCAGTGGTTCTCAAACTGGGGGTCGGGACCCCCATGGGGGTCCAAAAGATAATTTCAGGGGGTCGCCAAATCATTGTAAAAAAAATAAAAAAGTAAAACCTACATTTATCAAATAAATTTGTATCAGGGCTGTCAAAATTAAAAGTGTATTCTTCTTTCCACTCATTTTTCAAACTTGATTATGCAATATTATTATTATTATTTTCTGCTCTTTTTAAAATTATTTTCTTTTGTTTTTATATTTTTTTTCCCTTTCATTTGTTTGAAATAAATTCTATTCATTCCTTCATTCAAAAGAAAATTAACATGTTAATGTAAAGAGATTAATCTGTGGAATTAACTAATTCATTTTTAACACATTCATGCATGAACAACAGGATTATTGCTCATGACAGATTAAAGATTCAAACTGGACACGAACACAAACCTATGTTATCTTGGGGGTCGTGGCTCAAAAAATTTGAGAAGCACTGGTTTAGAGAATAAGGAGGCCAAAGGACAAATAGTTCCTTTTACACATTTGCTCATTAAATAAGCACAGGGAACATGAGTGCTTTTGCTTCGGTGCTTTATGACAGAGAAAAGGCCTCAGAGGAACCTCCACTACCGCTCACTTCACCAGCAAACTCTGTGGTAGATGCTCATCTATGACCTCTTACAACGGCCGTGCTCGTTCACCTCAGCCTGTAATCACTAAAGTCTCCCAAGCTGCAATGCAAGTCACTCACTGGCTCATTTCAACACATGACGGAAATTTTGGAATAATAAACAATCTCCCTCGTAATCGTGTTTGACTGGCCCCTCGAGATACAAAAAACAAGCTCGGTCCTGCTCCCGAAACCTCACTTGTTGTTGACTTACACAGAAAAGCATGTATTGATATATACTTTCAAAGCACACTAATCATACAAACTTAATTTGGATTGATTGCACTGCAGGCTGTGCTCCAAAGAATTACCGATGATTGATCCCCGTGTTTAATAAATATGCAGCAGGCGGCCGGTTAGCTTAGTTTAAAACTGCATGGCTCATTCAAATGAAGGCGAAACTATCCCTAATGCAGGAGTCCATGTTGGTTTTCTCTAGTTTTGACAAATTGGGATCTAAACAACTGATTTGCAGCAGGAGCTCAGTTTATTATTACTTTATATTCATTATGAATAATCATACAAGCACAACTCCTAGTTAATCATATTTTAAAAACACATTTAAACATGATTTAAAGACTCCCTCTAGTAAGAATCCATTTTTCCCCCCTTGGTAACACATCCTTATGGTGCTTTTTATATGCCGCCTCATATTTAGTCACATTTAGTCCTATTCCACTATCCCTCTTTATTTGTCATTCCTTATCTGTTTCTCCACCAGCCTCTACTTATGCCCACAGGAAGAGCTGTAGTTGTTGGAAAATATAATTAAAATCTGCTTACAACCACATTATAATGTCATATAAATCATTTATTAAGTGTACAAATGTAACCTGATTATATTTTCTTAGTCGGTCGGTAGTTCCAAAGTGGCTTTAAAGTGACGTAAAAATCCTTCCCATTAAAATTAAGTTGTTGTTCTTTCCTATATAACATGTCATGTGGTTCCTTTGAGATGCAAGAAGACACATCAGTAAAAAAATAAGTAGATGATTTAGCCGTTCCTTCTTGAAGCTGCAGTGTACCAATGACGTCTCAAAAAGATTCAAGCTTCTGGGTTTTTAGAACCTGTTTCTGATAAGAAGCTGTATGGCTGCGTTACTCTAATCTAATACAACTTGCTCTTGTGTAATGTAAAGTAGTTTTACAGTGTTTGAGCAGAGTTGTAGGTGAGCTGGTGTGCTCGAGCTGCAGATAATGTCACAGCGGTGGAAAGAGGTGGGGACTTCACAGGTCTGCATATTTTGGAGGAAGCAGCTGTTTAGAGTTACATCTGAGTCGTTATAAAGCAGGAAGGAAAAATAATGGAGAAAACATTGCAATGTGAAGTTTTGATACAAGACCATAAGGTTTTAGGGGTTTAATCAATGACTGGAGAGGAACAAATGGGACTTTAGTGATCTACAGAAGCAAAAAAACAAACAACTGAAATATTTCCATCATGACAATAAAAATGAAAACTAAAATGATTAAAGCCATACTCCCATTAACAGCCTCCCCTCTTTGTGCTAAGCTAAGCTAACTTAGCTTCATATTCACCATACAGAAGTGAAAGTGGTACAGAGTCTCCTCGGGTATTTTTTTCAAAATGTTGACCTACTCCTTTAAATCGTGGCCTTACCTATGCTGAGCGTTATTGTTGACGGTGTTGGAAGATTCCTCTCCTCCCACTGCTTCTGACAGCCACGCCTGTTATCAACCAGCAACAGATGCAAAAATAAAAACTTGTGAAAAAATGCCACCACACTGTAGAGTATCAGCACCGATGTGTATGAACACGGGATAACCTCGTATTTGGCGAGCTCCCCCTTCAGACGGCCGATGGTCTGGGCAGTTTCTGTGATCTGAGGCTCCAGACTGGAGGGGTCTCCCATCTGTGGATTCTGCTCATACACACCCTTCATCTTCTCCAGTGCGTCACTGAGGTCACACAGAGGGAGAAAAGAGTTATTGTTTGGGAAATGTGAGAGCTGATTAAGGAAGTTTCTCTCTTGTGCAGCGCTGCTGATAAGGATGGGAGGGACGGCCGGCGCTTGTAAGCTGAGAAGACGTGTCAAACTACTGCATATGGCATTAGTGATGGCAGACACTGGATGGGGTTGAGGTCAGGTTTAATGCGAGCCAGAAAAGTCCCTCAACACCAAACTGCTTCAACTACTTTACGAAGCTGGCTTTGAGCAGTTGGCACCACCATGCTGAAACAGAACGGAACTAACGGCAGCCAAAAAGTTGAAAGCACGCTATTGTTTAAAACATAAACGTATGATGTTATCTGTGTTATCTCCAATTTCAATCGCATGTTTGTTGGTTTTCAGGTTTTGGGCTTCCAAACAATCACTTTTAAAGTAATAGATGCGACACT